AAGGTTGTATGATTCTAAGAATTTATCCATTTCTTCCAGATTGTCGAATTGGTTGGCATATAGCTTTTCATAGTATTCTCTTAGAATCTTTTGTATTTCTGAGGTGTCTGTTGTAACTTCTCCTCTTTCATTTCTGATTTTACTTATTTGTGCCTTCTCTCTTTTTCTTGGTGAGTCTAGCTAAAGGTTTGTCAATTTTGTTTATCTTTTCAAAGAACCAGCTCTTGGTTTTATTTAAGATAGTGTTCTTTTAAAACAAAATTCTAATAGATATTAAAAACTGTACAGAATTTCAGAATGACTGACACTTCTGAAGCTGTTCCAAATTTTGAAGAGATGTTTGCCAGTAGATTCACAGAAGATGACAAAGAATACCAGGAATACCTGAAACGCCCTCCGGAGTCCCCTCCAATTGTTGAGGAATGGAATAGCAGAGCTGGTGGGAACCAAAGAAATAGAGGCAATCGGTATGTATTACTCCAGAAGAATAAATGCAGCTGGCTGATCTGGGAGAGGATAGCTTTAATCTGCTAGCCCATAAGGCCAGTGAGGGCAAGGACCAATGTTTTTGTTTGGTATGGTATACTTGGTGCCTAGTAACAGTGCCTGCACAGAGTAAGTGGCTGATAAATATTGGCTTTAGTATTTTGTCGGCACCATATATTTTTTCCTTGCTGTTCAGTTGTGTGTGTGTTTCATTGTTTTTTTAAAAATGTTGTTTCTGTGGACTAATATTTTATTTTCTTTGGAAACATACTTGCAAAACCTAGAGTCTTCTGCAAAACTTTGTGTTAAATTCCATAAAGAAGGTAGTGTTTTTGGTTTTACTTTAGAAGGAAGTTTATACCATGGAAATTACTTCTATTTAATAATTCAAAATAGATAAAAGGAATAAATTACCATACTGCTTTTGTACAATTGAATAGATTTCCGTTTGATTCAGAACTATCCTATTGTTTTGGTTTTGCTGTTGTAGTTTGCCTATTTCTCTGCAAAGTGTATCCAGTATAATACTGGAAAAATGATTTAAATCTTAGGAAAGTTTTGAATAACTGGTGCTGTAACGTTCTTTAGAGAAAAATGGTTTTTACTTTCTTGTTTACCAGGTATTGGATTGAGAAAATGCACTGGGGTAGATTTGTCATGTGTTTTTTTAAAAGGGAAATATAAAAATCTTTTTGTTTTGTTGTTGTAGGTTGCAAGATAACAGACACTTTAGAGGTAGGGATAGCAGACGGGGGTGGCCAAGTGACAATCGATCCAATCAGTGGCATGGACGATCCTGGGGTAACAATTACCCGCAGCACAGACAAGAACCTTATTATCCCCACCAGTATGGACACTATGGTTATAACCAGCGGCCTCCGTATGGTTACTACTGATAGAAATGTCAGCAGCTTTTAGTAAAACCATTTACTCTGTTAACATGACAAAAGTTTATGTGTATCTTCTGTTGGTCATAGTTTTACATCTTGATTTCAGAGAGTGGATTATTAATTTTTTGGAACTTGAAACTTTCTTTAAAAAATTAGATCTTACTAGAGATTTGTGATGGTTGCTGGGAATAAATACTCCCCTAAAAAGGTTGTGGATTATATTGCTTGACCTCTACCTCAGATTCTTTGTTTCATGACTTAATAGTGCTTTAAACTTGGTGTTATCTCTTCCTTGTTTGACCTCCAGGAGTTCTTTGTTTTACACAGAAATAAAAATTTAAAAATAGAAAATGCTTGCTTTTACTTTGTAAGACAAGGAAGTATCCATATACTAGAATGTGCTCATTCCTAAAATTTTACAGAGGTTAGTACAGTCAACTCATGAATGCACAACCATGCTTATTTGTAATGTACATAACATCAGCAGTTGAAAAGTGAAACAATTATAGTATATTTCTCTTGGCTTTTGTTGTTATGTGACTATGGTACTTTGTAATTGCTTACTGTATAGGTATGAGTCAGCTCCACAATCATTTTGGTCTCTTTTTAGAGGGATATCCAGAATAAAGCCGTAAAATGAGGAAGGACTCATTCTCAGTTTCAGTGTCTTGATCTAGTGGTGGGTGGGGTTAGGACACACAATCATTTTATACAAACTCTAAGGCTTTTTGCTAACTTAGAAACATAGCAGGTCAAAATCCATACTTTATACAAAAGTTTAATGTTTCCCTTTTCCTTTTTAATCATGTGTAAATAATGCTGCATTTTGACTCTACTTATTTTTATGGTATTTAATGTGGGTTGATTTTACAATGTTCTGTTCACTTCCAAATGTGCACCTTTGCTACTTCCTCTTCTATAAATACAATGATGCTGTAACTTCCTTTCAGAGTGATCATTATATTTCAAATCATTTTAATGGCCATTACACTGGTTTTATTCAAATAAAATACTTGTAAGATTATTCAAATAAAATACTTGGAAGATGAAGCAATTTATCTCTCAAGTTTTGGCAGTTAGCCCATTCATTAATGTGGTCACATGAGCTTTTTGGTTTTTATTATTCTGTCCTTTATATCTGTTGAAAAAGGTTTATTTGGTTTAAGAATAATATTAAAAGTACAAGTTTCATCATAAAGCAAAGGAATTAAAAGGCAACTTCCTAAATTTGCCTTCTGCTGCCTTCTTTCTTAGCATTCCAATCTAGGCCCTTGAGGTTGACTTCTCCAAGCACTACTTCTCCATGTTCTGGATCCAACTCTCCCCTCTTCTCCCCACTTCCTGACGAGCCATCCTTTCAGGTAACTATTTCATTGGAAAGGATCTAATAAACCAGATATTCACACTCAGATGTAAATATAAGGTAAGGGTTTTCCCTGTACCCCTCTAATTACATCAACAGGCAGTAAGCCAGTACTGTTACATAAAGATAGGTCTTGATGCTACTAATATTTAGCCTAGAGAGTTAAGAATGGCCTGACTGCATGCCAACATCTCTGAAAGCAGATGGGTTATTAAAACTATCAATTGATAAAACACAGGCACTGACCAATTGGGACAATAGCTGACCCTGGCTTTAGAATGGGATCCTGGAGGCAGGCCCCCTGCTGTGTCAGCTATTGACACAAATTAGGGAGATCTGTGGGTCCATGGGGTCAGGGATGGAGTAAGGGATGCATCTCAGGAAGCTCAGAAGAAAGGTTATTTTCCAACAGTATTTAAATATTTTAACACTGATACTCAGGCTGTATGTACCCTACTGTATCAGCCCTGCTCAAAAATATGGTAAGAGTCTTTTTAACATGAGTTATTTCTGCATTCTGCATGAGCAATCTACGTGGTGGTGGTTTTTCTTTTTCTTTTTTTTAAACAGCAATCACCATCAGACTGCCCTCTGTATGCATAAAACCAGGGAGAAATAAAAGGCGTGGTTTCTGCTTCATGTGGGAGACACAGAAAACAACATCAAAAAAACTTAAGGATAATTTAAGAGTGAGAAGAAAGAATTAAAATAGTGTCAAATGGACTTAATCTCAACTAGACCGTCTGTTGTAATAGCATATAGCATTAAGCGTAATGGAGTCCTGGTGTCCAGTCCTGTCGTTGCAAGGTATGTGACCTTGTGAAAATCACTTAAACTCTGAGCTTATTTGCTCACTTGTAAAAATGGGGATGATACCCACCCTGCCACTCTCAGGATTATCATAAATGACCAAACTTAGCAGAGCTTGAGAATAGAAACTAGAGCTTGTGACCATTAAACCCCCAGTAGCACATAATTAGTGCTGCATAAACATTTGTTGAATCCATGGGCGGGAGGTATTTGGTAAATTGTAAAGCATACTGTTGCTATAAAGGATGTAGGGTAACTGATAGAAGATGAGGTAGGGCATGAGACTTATTGAGAATTAAAGGTTGGTGATTCTTATGTGAATTAATATATGAATTAGCAAAAGAAGAAGAAATTAAATCTTTTAGAAAATAACAAGCACTTTAAATATGGAAAAAGTTTATGTGAAAGTTGAGCTAAAATTAGTAGCATTTGCTGTTTGGAAATGCTCGAACACTGGCCTTAAAATGTTGAATGTTGATTATGGAACACATCAGATTAATATCCTTTTGAGACCAGCTTGCTGGGGACTTGAGATATAGAAGTTTTTTTTTTTCCCTGTGTGCTGGGAGGATTTGAGGTTATCCAAAGTGTAATAAGCATGGATCACTGCTCTGAGAATAGTTTCTGGGTTCTTAAAATCATACAGGAAAAAGATATCTGGTGAGATTCCCTAGCATGGTTTTGGTTTCCAGAGCTGCATTCCTTAGAATCCAGTGCTCAGCAGACAGGGTGTCATTTCCCTTTGTGTTTTATTCACCTGAAGGAAAATATAGAACTTGATGATAGAATGAAGAGTAATGAAATGCCAGTTTTAAGTTTAGAATACTAAAATGGAAGGAAGTGATCTTTTGCCCTGAAGGTTACTGGTATTACTAATTTTGAACTCTAGGATAAAAAGCACTGCACTTTGTTTCTAAATACAGTTTTTTAACACCTTAAAAATTTTCCTAGACTTTCTATTCCATTTGATTCGTTCAATCCAAACATAGATTTGGCTGTGTATGAAAATCTATTCCCCAGGGCTTTGACTTCTTTTAATTAGCACGATTGTTTATAGTGAAAGGGAATTTTTTTTCATTAGGAAATGCAGGAAATAAATACTCCCAGCTTGGGGCAGCTTGTAGTACTATGTAATAACTTCAGTTAGCTGGGAAAGTTACTTGTGGAAGTGCTTCCTTTGTTAATGTTAGACAAATTGAGGTATTATAAACGATTCACTGAAAAGCTTATTTGGGATTTTTCTTTCAATATCTTGTATTTTAACCAAAGAAGCATATTTGATATATATGTATAAATGAGGACTTTGAAATACTAAATATACTTTGGTTAATTCTGTGTGAAAAACCTAATTATATAGGTCACTCAGAGAATTTTTCCTCTGTTTCCTTAGAAACGTATACTTTTACAATCCTCTAGTTTTTAATTTAGAGTAGATTGAGACCAACAGGAGTAAATACTCTTGACATTGGTAGAAGTTATTGATGTTAGTTTTCAGATTAATACTTCAGGATTCAGATATACTCAGATGTGATGTTCTGTAATATCTAAACAAAGATTTCTCCTATCTCCTGCTATATTAAATTATAATGGAGCGAAATCAACAACTAGATTCAAGTAGTAAGTTATACCATTGGATGCAAGGTAGCCTTGAGAGCAAATATTTCCTCCTTTCTAGAAGTCTGGTTGACCTCTACTGGGACCAGCTTTTGGGGAAAATAGGGATGGGAGCAGAGATTCCTTGACCTATGGATATTCTGGGAGAGAATGGCTGTGGGCCAAGCTGCCTGCCTGGGTCTCAATCAATATGGCTGAACTATGTCAGGATATGCCAGAGTTGAAGAGGAAGTTACTTCAGCTGCTGTAACACTGCTGAGGCCTCTGGGTGCTAAAGAAACATTCTTATCTGAGGAGTTAGCAATGCTGTCAGATTGGAGATGAGCTGTGGATAACACCCCTCAGATTTTAATATTTACAGAATGGTACGGGAGGAGCAGGTTAATGAAGAGGACAAGTCTTCCATCAAAACTGCTAGTATGTGATTTGCCTGCCCCCTTGCAGGATTAAGTGAAAGCATTTACATAAAGTACAGATCACTGGGTGGGGTATGTAATAGGTGCCCAGTCGGTGTCAGGTTTGTGCCTCCAGAAGCAGAGTGGGGTATCTCTGGGCTACCTTGGGTGCAGGAAGTACAGCTCACAAACCTTCACCAGTGTCTCCATGGGCCAATGGGCTAGTTCGGTTGGTGTTTTCATTCCTGTCCCCAAGGGGCATAGAGAGCCCCATGTATTAATTACCAGTTAGATTTTCTCTGGGCCTCAATGACTTCTGAGACAGCTTCAGGGGATGATGTGATGATGATCTCATGTTTTTTTTTCCACTGCCAGTGCCTTTAACTCCCTAAAGGAACTCCAGCCTCTTTGTCTGAATTAGGTAAATAAAGCTGCTCTAATTGCTAAAGGCCAGAACTTTTTCATTTTTGTGTGTTTCTCTCATTTTAAAATTGCCTTCATTATATTTTTTTTGTGTGTATACAAAATAATAAATATTATACAAGGTGAAACAATACAAAAATGAATAGTCTGCATCCATCCTGTGATTATGGCCTATTGTGTTTGCTTCTGTCTCTTTCACCATGCCCACACACATATATAAATTTGATACACATATGTATTTTTCCTTTTTTTACTAACGCGAGGTTATATTATATAAATAAATAAATACACATACACACACACAAATGTATATTATCCTTTGTTCATGCAACAGAATATAATAGACATCACTCCAGGTCAATAGCTATAGATGAAAAACTAATGATTTAATTTTAATAACATAATATTCTATAGTGTGGCTTTACGATTGATTATATGATTATTCTCTAGGTAGACACAGGCTGTTTCCCTTTTTTTGCCCCTACTAACAATGCTGCATTGCTTTTGTCCATACATCCTTTGGTGGTTTTATTTTTATGTGTTCTGTGAGGTATTCTCAAAAGTAGAATTGTTGGGTTAAGAGATTTGTATTTTTAATTTTAATGAATGCTGCCACATTTTCTAAAACACT